GGGTTTTAGGGTTTAAGGGCTTAGGGGTTCAGGGGTTTCGGGTTTAGGGTCTAAGGGTTTAGGTGTTTAGGGTTTCGGGTTTAGGGGTGTAAGGGTTTAGGGTGAGGCTGCATCCTTTGGCGTTAGATTCAGAGGATCCGTAAGGGCTTTATAAGGTATAATTTAGGGTTAAAGAATTTATTGGGGTTTAGGACTTTTCTTAGGGTTTAGGGCTGAGGGTTTAGGATTCAGGGTTCAGGGTTTGGGATTTGTAGGGTTCAGGCTTCAGGTTTTGGAGTTAAGGGTCATGTTATTGTTGCTTCCGTGTGGGTGGGCATCTGCATTAGCGCTGTCTGAACTGCTCTTCAGTTGCATCTCTTGGTTTGCGACGCGCATTGGCATGGCTGCAATTTCAAGTCCACCAGGAGCATCCGTTGCTCAATCTCCAAGGACTGACTGGTCGGTTGCGGTTTCCACCGGCAGACTACACCGAGTACCAGCACTCACAAGCGGAACCGATCGAGAATGGACCGCCAGTTGATGTTGTGGAGAATTTGGCAAGATGGTCCACCTCGACTGACAGATGCACCCAATTCTTGGCAACATGGAGAGTGCAGTGTCTGGCCTTGGCGGTTCAGCGACTGTCCTGTGCTGGTTTGGAACCTGTCGGGATGCAGCGTCTCCCAAGCCCTAGTGTAGACCCAAACTGCAGCTAAATTGTCTAGAGTCCAGACTACCCAACATTGTAGATCTTCAGCCAGACACTCAACCTTCAACCCTACCTAGAGGGCCTAAAGGTGTGCACGCCAACCGTTTTTGGACACTGAGTTTCCGTTTCAGATAGTTATAGAGGACTCAGAACCACAGAACTAGGCACAGCGCGAAAGGTCTAGTCGAGGAATGCTACTCTGTGCGAGGTTTCTTCGGTTGCTGTTGGCACGATATTCACACGATCATGGTTACTGCTACCAGTAGTTCTTCGCTGAATTCAAGTCCTCTACACCTGCTCTGGTTACTGTTTGGCCGGGAACCACGTAGACATCGTCCTCCGATTAGAACCCCCCTCGCAGGGAGTAGACCTGCGCCTTTGGGTGTTGGGCCTGATCTCATCGCTTGAACGCCTTGTGCATCCGAACAGAGGCCCAATCAGCACCCATTCAATTCTCTTCAAATCGAAGACTGCGGCGCAATTGGGGCATGGAAACCGGCTGATGCTGATGATGTGCTTCCCTCGTGGGAACAGAATCGCCTGCAAAAGGGAAGACTGGGGACAATTTGGGCTAGGGTTTAGGGTTTAAAGTTTAGCTGATGCCGATGATGCACGGTCCAGCGTGGGCCCAATCAGCACGCACTCTTATGACCCGAGACCGTGTTGCTTGCCTATCGAAATTTTTCGGCCATGGAACCCTAAACCCTAAGCCCTAAAACCTTGACTCCTCTGATTATGATGCTGCTGATGCGCGGCTTCGGGTGGAGAATTTGGAGACGGGACACCCTTAGCCTGATGCTGATGGCGGGATTGAAACTGCAGAAAGATGGGATGGGAGAACTTAGACCCGGATCAAGCTGATGATGCGTGCTCGGTCGGTTAGCAGATGGTGTTTCGATTTGCGATCTGAGTTCTATCTGCGCCTCCCCGGCTTTCCTAAACCCTGAACTCTAAACCCTAAGCCCTAAACTCCCAAGAAAGAACTAGATAGAAACTGCTTGTTGCTGTTGGCCAGCTGGAAACGTGTTTCATTTCCGGTCGGGAAACAGCCTTTCCAGTTTCTCTAAACCAATTTCCGTTTCAGGGTTAAGCAAGTCAACCCACCTGCGATAGCGCAGCACAAGCCAGCCAGCCAGCCAAGCCCACCCCAGTCCAGTCCTTCGCACCCAGCCCAGCCCAACCCAGCCCCCAGCTCCAGCCCCACCCCACCCCACCCATTCCATCCATCCCCAGCCAGCCCGATTCAAAAATCAGGTTGCAAAAGGAAATTGATCAACACTTTCGGCTAAAACCTCGTACAATAATGGCCCAACACCTATAATTCTACATATTTTTGGGCTCCAGGTAAACCTTAAGCCCACAACTTTCGAATGTGACAAGAATTCCTTGGATCTTACGCCTCGGTTTACGTCGCCCTCGCTCTCAAGGCCATGATGAGCCTCCCCCTCGCCACGACGGAGGGCCAGGACACCGCAGTCTTAGAAATTGTTGTGGCCTCGATAGTGAGAGTCGGAATCTGGTTGTATGATACCGTTACTATAACCGTAGGAAGTTCTTTCTATGATAACGTTACCATAATTATAGGAATTTGGGTCTATGATACCGTTACTATAATTATAGGAATTTGGGTCTATGATACCGTTACTATAACTACAGGAATTTGGATCTATGATATCGACTGTAATCAGTACAAGGGAACCCGATTTCGGCGCGGCCCCAAAGTACTGGGTTGGGGCGCGCTGTGAAGGGTTTCCGGACAACCTTGAGGGCTTAGGGTTCAGGGTTCAGGGTTGTAGGGTTTACGGTTTAGGGTTCAGGGTTTGGGCGATATAGGGTTTAGGGTGTATAGGGTTCAGGGTTTAGGATGCAGGGTTCAGGGTTTACAGTTCCGAGTTCAGGGTACAGGGTTTAGGGTTTAGGGTAGAAAGCGGAGCAAGGCCCAGAATTATCCAAAGCCTTAGACCTAAAAGTCTTAATCAAGAGCTCTAAACCCAAACCCGGAAACCCCTTCTATGCCCTAAGCCCTGAAAGCCCCAGAGACTGAAGATCCCTAAAGCTGGCTCCAAACCGCTCAAATCCTAAGCCCTCATAACCCTAAACCCCAAACTCTGAACCCAAGCCGCTCAAACCTTCACCCAGCGACTCCAGAACCCTTCAATTAAGGAATATACCTTAAATCTTGTTTGGGTACCTATTATAATTTAAGGTATGTCCCTTAATTAAGGGGTTTTGGAGTCTCTGGGAAGCCCTCGGGAGGAAGCGGCAGCCCCACAGCCGGCTCCCGAGCCCGTGCCGGAGGCGCTTAGGGTTTAGGGTTTAGGGTTTAGGTTTTAGGTTTAGGAGTTGTAAGGTTTTGGGGGTTTAGGGGCTTCAGGGCTTTAGGGTTTTAGGGTTTAGGGTTCAGGGTTTAGGGTTATGAGGGCTTAGGGTTTCAGGGTTTTAGGGTTTAGGGTTTAGGGTTAGGGGGGCCGTGGAGGCGTCACGTCGCATTTGCGGCCGCATGTGCCCCTTTTTCAGCAAAGGAAAGGTTTAGGTTCAGAGTAGTATAGGAACCTGATTAGGAAACCCTGGCCCTATAGCCCCAAATATATTAGGGTTCATATTAAGAACCCTAATAATAAAGACCCCGGGTTTCTTTATCAGGTTCCTATATTAGTATAGTCTGCGTTGTAAGGGTTAGGGTTTAGACAAGAACTAGGCTTAGGGTTCAGGGTTTCGGGCCAGAGGCACAGGGTGTCAAGGCTTTAAGGTGTGGGTTTTAGCGTTTAGGGCGCAGGGCATTGGGTTCAGGGTAGTTCAAAGTTCAGGATTTAGGTAGGGTTTGGGGGTTTATGGTTGAGGTTGTAGGACAGAGGGTCGAGGGAGTCGGGTTTAGGGCCCCGCGACTCGCAGACAAGGTCGGGTATCTTTGGGGACTCACCAAGGACTGCCATTTTTGATGCATACGCCAGCATGTCTCCTTTTCTCAGGACCGTTGCCTTATAAGCATTACTGCCCCCGGATGTCAAGGTTCGGGTTGATTCATTGAGGGCCAGAGCGTGTAATGCTGTAGGAGGCCTCTATAGGATAGATACTCAGGCGTCGATCGGACATTCTAAACCCTAAACCCTAAAAACCCAAAAAACCTAAACCCTGTAAACCCTAAACCCTTTAAACCCTATAAACCCTATGAACCCTAAACTCTATAAACCCTTTAAACCCCATAAACCCTATAAACCCTAAACTCTATAAACCCTAAACCCTAAACCCTTAAACCCTAAACCCTAAGCCCTAAGTAGTGTATCAGCTTGGCAGGGTTAGGAGCCTCATGAGGGCCCGGGGGACAGCGAAGCCTATAAGAAGCCGGGATGAAGAGCCCTTTGTCCATGCAATGCCGAAGCCCCACAACCCTGTAAACCCTAAACCCTACAAACCCTAAACCCTAAACGGACCTTCTGACTGTGGCGTGGATGCTGTGGGAGGAAAGGGGTTAAAAAAAAAAAAACTAAACCCTATATAAACCCTAAACCCAAACTTCATATCGCTTGGAGGCCTCCCAGCGAGCCGAGTTTCCTGAAGAATTTGCAGACGTCCAGCACTCTGCTTGCTCTCAAAGTGGTGGTAGGGTTTAGAGCAGCTAAGGGTTTAAAAGTCAGGGTCTGGGCTGATTCGGTTCAGGCGGTAGGGATCGACATGCCTACAACTTGGAACATGTTCCAAGGTGGGCCTTAGTTTGGCAGGCCTATGGTTCTGTCTTTCTTTACCGATGTTCTTGGGGCTTACGGTTCAGTGGAGCGGATTGGAGGTGGGTGCTCTGCAGAATCCTTGCTTGCTTGAGGTTCTCTTTGATATCAGGACTCGAAACATTGATCCCGTGGTGCCTGGACCTGAACCCTAAACTTTCTAATCTAGGGGACTCAAGAATTACAAATATACTATTATCGGGGCTCCTTATGTTAATAGTATGATGTCCCACAAGATCTTGTTCTAATTATTAAGGCCTCTACATGAAACCTTCTACCCTGAACGCCAGGTCATCCTTGCAGGTTGGAAAGCCACTACGCCCACCTGCAAGCTTGGACAAGTTTCTAGATGTACACCTCTAACTTCATCCCAGTTCTGCGGGCTATCTAAGCGACTTTCAAAAAAAGGGATCCTTTGCACAGCCTCGGCAGAAGCAATAGTGGCTATAACCTCCGTTTTTTGTTAGTGACTGGATGCCGAGATCAATTTGGAGCCACCGCTGCCGCCACCCGGCGAAGGCAACGCAGGGCTCTAAAGCCTGAAGCAAGTAGGGTTAAGGGTTTAGCGTTTAGGGTTAAGGGTTAAGGGTTTAGGGTAAAGGGTTTAGCCTGAAACAACCGCCTAATTCCAGAAAGGTTGGCTTTAGGGTTTAGAGTTTAGGGCTTAGGGGGAACGAGCCGACAGTTGTTATACATTATATATATACACACATGTACATATAATTATGTAACTAGCAAACAAGAGCCTTAAAGAACGAAGCCAAACACTCAAAGGACTGGAGCCCCTAAGCCCTATACCAAACGCGAAGTTCAGGGCTGGTTGCAGAAAACCGACGGCTTTACGGCTGAACTTTCTGGGTTTATATTAATATGGATATAGGGTCCAGGGATTAGGGTTTTAAGTTTAGGGTTCAAGGGGTTGGGCTGTAGGGTCTAGGGCGATTGTCAGGATTTGTGATGCGGGGCTTGGTGCTTAGGGAAGATGTGCCGCAAGTGCCCGTTCCTATAGTCTTCATTTGGGCCTCTGGAAAGTAGAGTAGCTAAGGGTCCATATTTGGGGTCGCTTGTTATGAGAGTCCTGTATAGTGAAAGGATGTTGGCGTGCCTCAAAACCAGTCTGAACATCCCAGATGCTATTCAATCACACTCGGCCTTAGGGACCGTACCTAGACCCCAAAGTGTCGTACCTTTTTGTGGATGATCGACTTTATGTTGAGGATCCTAGAGTGGGGCCTCAATTTAGGGTCAGGGTAGTGTTCATGACGGTCGCTTGGCGTTGAGATGTAGGAATGAACCTCACCCCAAAAACTCCAAACCTAGCTTCATCTCTCTGCACCCAATAACCCGAAACCCTAAACCCCAAACCCTAAACCCTTAAACCCAGACCCCTAAACCCAAACCCCAAACCCTAAACCCTCCTTGAGCTCCCTGCACCTCGCCAGGGCCGCCGGGCCCCCCGGCGGAAACACAGCGGCCGGCTGAGAAGCAGCGGGAAATCCTTCAGGCACAGCCTTGCAGATGTCGGGATTTAGGGTTTAGGGTTTAGGGTTCAGGGTTTAGGGTTTAGGGTTTAGGGCGTTTTTGGTTGAGGCTTCAGGGCAGATTTAGAGGTTTAGGGGTTTAGGGGTCTATAGGGTTTAGGGTTCAGGGGAGATTCAGAGGTTTAGGGGTAAACCCTAAACCGTATTAAACTAAATTTAGGGTTTAGGGGTTTGGGCTCAGGCTCAGCGCGGAGGGTCTGTTTAGGGTTCGGGGCTTCAGGGGTTTAGGGTTTAGGGTTTAGGGTTGCATGAAGGGTTGCAGAAAAGCGTTTTGGAATTTGCCTAGAGAGCACAGTTTCGGATTAGAGTCATTGTTTGACCTAGACCTAGACCTTGTTTTGGTAAGGTTGGGGGCTCAATGTTTAGGGTGCAGGGGCTTAAGGAAGATGCCGTAGCGGGTTTCGGCTTAAAACACAGACTCAAACAGTGCAGTGAAGGCCCTTTCCATCGACACATTCCACCTGCAGACTCGACCTTCAAAACAAAAGTTCACATCAGCCTGGTTCTGCAGGGTGGACGAGCCGAGCTTGATCCAGACCTGGAGCTGGACGACGAGGTGGGGCATCGAGCTTTAAGCGATTAGCCTACCTGCCTGCCTGCCTGCCTGCCTGCCTGCCTGCCTGCCTGCCTGCCTGCCTGCCTGCCTGCCTGCCTGCCTGCCTGCCTGCCTAGCCTATCTGCCTACCTGCCTACCAACCTACCTCCCTACCCACGTGCCCACCTACCTACCTGGCTGCCTCCCTACCACCTGCCCACCTACCTACTTTCCTGCCTGCCTACCTACCTACCTAC